TCCGCTGTGTTATCGACCCCGCTGCCCACATAAAACACCGCGCGCTACCCCCAATGACGCCACACTAATTACTCGCGGCCTAATTCGCCTCATTAACTACATAATCCGATTATTTAAACACCCTCGCGGCATCGCAAGAAACCTCCGATAATCCAGCGCCTTGGGCCATAACACTGGCCGGCCATTCTCTCGGCACGTCGTCGCTGCTCCACTCAATCAGCGGCGCAGTAACTCAACTGCTGCCACCTGATGCCCGACGACGATTCAGGCATGACAGATGCCATTAAATCATTATCGTTATATAAAAATGGCTATCTTGTCTTGCGCGGACATTGATATCGCACGATAGCGTGCGGAATTCGCCGCCGCGTAACGTTCACCCCGTGGCTGCCGTCTGGGGTGCCGTGAGAGTCATCTTGATCATCTTGCATCATCTTGATATCATCATATCATATACAATTAGTGCAGCGACGTACAATACTGGCACAACACGCCAGAGCGCCGTCGAAGCCGCTATAGAATAAATATATTTGAGCTGCTGGCGCATGCCGCATATCGGTTAAACCTTGCATTATTCGCATAACCGCTGTCGATCCGTACTACCGTATTGCGTACGAATTCGGTTTGGAGCCGGCCGATGAGTAAGGCCGTAAGGCGTGTGTCCGCCTGCACACGTTTACGCGCGTGTCCGGCGGCTACATGCCGCCACACGTACGGTGTGTCGTCGTCGCTATTCCACACGGGCGCAGACGACAGTCATGATTATTGCCGCCGCTGCGGACCGTTGTCATTCCATAATTGAGCGACTAGTACAATAAGCCGCGCTCGACTGCTGCTTGGCTGCGCAACAAATCGCTCTACTTTAACATTAGTGAAGTCGCGTGCGATGCGTGCGTGCGTCGTCGCGTGCGTGCGTGCGTCGTTGTGTGTATGTGTGCTGATTGTGTGTGTGTGGTGTGTGTGTGTGTATGTGTTCCGCGTGTTCCGTGATGGGGTGGTGTGCTCCTCGCGCGTCTTGTGTCATGGTGGCGCGGTTGCGCGCGTGGTGTTGTGCACACGGCGCGCACTGGTATGCGGTCGACTCAGCGAGGCAAGGCGACGGTATTAATAATACGATAACCATGAATGTGTTTCGCAAATGGCTCCAAAAAACACAAAGCGTGCCGTGGCGTCCTGCGTGCGTGCGTGCTGCGTGCCCGTGCTGCGTGCCGTGCGTGCGTCGCGTTGTAATCTCCCGCTCGGGAGTTTCTCAGCTTATAGAAGGTTTCGTGAAAACCGCACGCACGCGGCTTTCCATTGAAGCATGTGACTGCTCCCATTACGAGGATGTTCGGATTGTTTAACTCTGCATATATTAAGGGGGGGCGCGGATGCAACGACCAGCTCTCATTCATCGCGCCCCGCAAAGAGTATGCGCAGATGGCCCGCTGATTGGCCATGCCAAGATCGCGCGAATCGCTGCGGGATAACAACATCAGCCCGCTAGCGCTTTTCAAAGAAATCCCAAGCTTATTCATCGCCGACCTACATCGGCCGGCCCCCCGAGCCAGCGCGCAGAGCCGCTTTATGATCGCAGATGAAGTTGATGAATGCTGAGACCATCACGGGTCTCCACAAACCGCACGCTGTCATCGCCTGCGCCGGCCGCCCCCCGTCGCATCGCCGCACCGCCCCCCGCCGCCCGCCGGCCGCATACTATCTTCCATCATAGTAGCGTATGTTATCGCGCCCCGCCGTAAGAGGCTGAGGCGCACACGACGCGGCACGCCTGCCATGCAGCACGCAGCATCCGCTGCGAGCCGTGAATTTCAATTGCAGCCGAAAATATGCGCATCATTAATCACATCTGCGGAATAATGGCGTTTGTCGGCGCGGCGGACGAGCTATGCAAAGCGACGACTTTCGCCGCGAGCCGGACGCAAAGTGATGCCATTATATCAGCGACCGTTTGTCGCCTCAAACTTCGTAATTTTCCACTTTTGCGCGTGTCATGTTCGTACTACGCACGCAACGTTTCCGTCCGCATGTTAACGCAATCTCCAGTTAGCTTATTCGGCTATCGCCTCGGTTACTAGTGCCAACATCCAGCTAAATGTCGAGCATGAACCAGTAGCAAAACCCACCACCCCAGCAGCGAGCCCCCCTGGCCCGTCCTTCCCACGCGTCACATGATGCCCGTGCCAACAAATTCGTTTGACTTTAAACATCGCAACGCGGTTTTAGAGTCGCGTTAGGGTTACTGACAACTCGATGAATCAACTCGCCACTATCGCTCAAGCTCGTTTTATGTACCATGCTGTGCGTGGCTGCTCTGCGTGCAGTGCTGCGTGCGTGTTGGGGTTCCTGAGCGCGACCGTGGTGCGTGATGCATTGTGTGTCGTAACACTATCTTCAGTTCTCGTTATTTCGGCATGTGCGTGAACCCCCGCTATGCTTGGGATGGTGAGGAAGAGGCAGTATTGCCAGTGCGCCGAAGGTTTCACATGAATAACAGCGAGTGTCACGCGCGCTCAGCTTCTTCTACCGACGTATATGCTTAAAACCTGCCAGTTAGCCTCTCACCTCCCTCTGTCTTCCTCTCTCTCTCTCTCTCTCTCTCTCTCTCTCTCTCTCTCTCTCTCTCTCTCTCTCTCTCTCTCTCTCTCTCTCTCTCTCTCTCTCTCTCTCTCTCTCTCTCTCTCTCTCTCTCTCTCTCTCTCTCGCTCTCTCGCGCTCTCTCTCTCGCTATGTGTCTCACTTTCTCCGATCTTCCTCGCTGCGTTTTTCACGGATTCGGGGAGCGTTTGCAGTATTGTCAGTGTCGTTTCGGCAGGTAAATACATGCATTCCTTAATCGCATTTGCTCATTCCTATCGGTGGGCTGGGCGTAAGGAAGTCCCCCCACCACCACCACCATGCGACTCTACTGCCCACCACCACCACCACCACCTCTTCCACCCAACAGAACTCTCACAAAGAGAGCAGCAAGTTGGCAGCGTCCACGCAGACTTCCACCACCTTCTCGCTTCTCGCACAAACTCGTGCCACCACGTACTTGAGGTGTCCATCTAGATAGCGCGTTGATCCCCGCGTGGTTGACTGGAGAGGTTGATGATGATGGCCGATTCTGTTGACGTAGATAACTTAAGACTAATTGCCTGGGCCGAGTCAAGAACTGGTTTACGCTTCTTACTGAAGTTCTCTGAGAGCCTCGAGGACACCTCAGCAATTTGAGTACAGTAAATCTAGTCGAAATTAGCCGCAATTGACGAGTTAATTTGAGACAAACTCAGCGTCCTTAAGGCTCTTCTCCCCGAAGTGACCCGCTGTCGTTTATGACAGGTACTGCGTGGAGAGGCGCTGTGGAATGGGTTGTAGACTGCGGCGGGGGGGGGGGGAAGTAACGCGTGTCGTTGTGCTTGCTGCCTTGCTCGTCTGCGTTGGAGAACGTCGAAATTTTGTAGAAGTATCGTGAAGAGTTTTATGATGGCCCCGAGGCAGAGCACATCGCGTAAGTGGCAGTCGTTATTCTAAATGGCAAGGCAATTCGACGATTAGAAGAAGTGCGTGGCTGTAATTTAAATAAATGTCTCGGTGTACAAAAAACTTGTGTTATTATTTTCAACGTATTTTACGCTGTATTCTCAGGTGGCGTTATGCTACCAAACAATTCCGTTGGATTTACGCTTAATGATTTGCTATAAAAAAAATCATTTTCTCTCGTACTTTTTGCGTGTCCACGGTATAATGCGTTTGTTTACAAGTAAAACGGTTCAGAGGCAATCACAAGACTTACACGAGCGATTGCAGGAGGTTCTCTAAGGAGACCGAGAGTGCGTGAGCTGGGGGGTGTTTTGCTGTACGGCTAAGGTCGTAAAACAAGTGGACATGCGAGATTATATGAGCTGTGTACTTAACAATCAGCGAATTCGTGTGTCAGAAGATTTATGGTAGTGTACCGAAACTCATCAACTTGGCTCTCCTGCGATAGACTGCTCCTGGGTATTTGTACAGACATGTTTTCGAGTACCACTGGCTATAATTAATTAACTCTAAAGTGACAGCACCGGTTCCAGTCTATACTCAATCTTTATGGCGATCCTCGCCTGGGGGGACCATTAAAGTCGGCACGCTACAAGTGGCCGTTAGCACCTGCGCCTGCGTAACATATAATTTGCCCACGTCGAGCACGTGCTGCCATCTAGTGCACACTGCTAGCAATATTAATGGGAACGTTCTGTAGCGCGGTCAGTTGTGATTTCTAGCTACAAACAGGTTCGAGAACCGATGTTTGTGTGTCGAGGTAATCGCAGTGGGTTCTGCTGCGTTCTGCTCTGGCAGATAGATATAGGCTGCGGATTATAGTGCCTGTTCTTTGTTTGTTGGCGAGCTGTTATTATTGTTATTACTGTTTCTGACTCTGTATGATAGGCATTTGCAAGTGCACAAGTCACTGTTATCTGCCTACTGGCTGTCGCAGTGAGGGTAAAACAGGACCATGGTATTTCATATGTAAAAAAACACACAAAGCGAACAAATATGCGAGCACTATTAACATATTCACCACTTTCTCAACTTTTTTCTATAGACACTACCTTCATAGATGAAATAATCTTGTGGTCCACCCCTCTACATTCACAGTGCCTAGCTTACCTAGAATTCTGCCATTCGTCTCGTAAAATTTATTCAGTAGAGCATTACCGTGGATCAGATTAAAACATATCTGCATAACCTGACGCCATATGGCAATGTATGCATATATATATATAACATCAAGAGCTAATAAATATTTAGTATATTTTTTTTGAATATTAGTATAAATAAGTATTTATTATACTCTTGATAATATATTATATATAATATATATATATATATATATATATATTCATAATGACATTGTTCGTGCATTGCTGGTGCTGGCTGGATTGCATGCATGTAATACTATGCTGGCCAGTGCATATGAAGTGAATGAGCAGAGTATGAGATGTGCTGTTGGCTTACTGTTCTGTCCTTGCTTTCAGGCGATGATGATCGGGACTACAACTACAAGTACATTCCTCCAACAGAGAACATGGTCCCATCATTGCCTGACACACCCGACATATCAGCAGAGGGTGGTGAGAAAACTTTATAGATTTATGGGAGAAATAATAGAGAAGTTAATTATATAGAGAAATAGATATAAGAGAAACAAATAAGATTTATGGAACCTAGTGCATTAAGTTTATGCTAACAATGTTCAATTGGTATTAATGGGAGAAGACTACTGAAATTCATTTGATGTTTTATTTTGAATCGAAAGGATGTTAAAGATTGCGGATCATCCTGATTGATACTTTCCACACAAAAAAACAATGATTACAATGATTACAAAGAACCTCATTCATCATAAATTTACGTTAACGTTAACGAACGTGTTATCTTTTCTTAGCGAAACAGAATCCTGTGTATATAATGTGCTCTCTGTGATTTGTGTGCAGCTAAGCCAGAGTTTACTGAGAGTGGTAGGACGCGGTCTCAGCACGTGATGCACAAGATAGGCACCATCGTGCGGCTAAAGTGCACGGCAAAGGGCAATCCCCCGCCGGACATTGTCTGGCTGAAGAATGACCAGGTGCTGCACCTAAACAATGAGGACAAGCAGAGTGGTCGGTGAGTGACAGTACACTATAGTACAGAGGTTCTTAACCTGTGGTCCGTGTGACCATTTTTTTACTTATGTGCATTTTTCTCGTGAGGGGTCCGTAGCTTTCACCAGATTCTCAAAGGGGTCCATGACTCAAAAAAGGTTAAGAACCACTGCTATAGTAGTAGGGTATAGTAGTAGGCTTGGTATAGTAACAGCCAGGCTTGGTAGTAGCCTTCCTTTCCCCACTGCGCATTATTTTAATTGCTTTGTTGTGACACTGCTCTTCTGTCATATCGTAGGTGGACTCTGGTTTTGGAGAGCATACAAATAGAAGATAGTGGAACTTACACCTGCAGGGTTTCCAACATCCATGGTGCCATCAACGCTACATACACACTAGAAGTAGTAGGTAGGTGTGAGGTATCAGACTTGTATCCACCAGCACGTATGTGCATGGCTGCGTGTTTATGTACGTGTGTATGCCTATATGCGTGCATTGCATGCAAGTTCATGAGCTCATAACACTAATCCGTCACAACTACTGCAGTTAATTGTTCTAAGTTTGTAAATTCCTCTTTGTCTGTCGTGAAAAACGATGAATTAGAAAAGAGCTTTGTTAAAAAGCGTGACGAGGAAGAATAAGGAACGATAATTATGTGAATGCATTGGAAAGAAGTCGTTTGTAACGGTGCTGAAATTGAGCGGGAACACGTACCTGACACTGCGTGTAGGGTAGAAATGAGGGAGTCCGCAATCTGAAGTGCAAGACTAAAGATATTAACAATAATGCATGTGCTTATTTTGAAGATTCATGCAGTTGCATGTCTGCCAAATTTTCTTTGGACATTTGCTGAAAAAATACGGTAATTCCGTGAGGACGTGCTCTGGAACGAGCTAGTTGATATAGCAGAATTTTCAGGGAGTCTCACGGACTCCTGCATATGTCAAATCAAGGAGTCCGACAGTAAATCAGGGAGTATTTGACTCCGGACTGACTCAGATGTTAATTTCGCACCCTGGTGTTTATTGCAGAGAGAGTACGGCAGGAGAAGCCACTCATGACGGGGGAGGATCCCGTGAATACCACAGTTGAGTACGGAGGCACTGCCTCCTTCCAGTGCAAGGTGAAGAGTGCCGTGAAACCTCACGTTCAGGTAGGCAGGTGCAAGCCGGCTACGCGCATTCGCCCTAGCCAGTAGTGAACAATAGAGCAAGTCTACTTAAATTCATGCCACGCGCAGAGAGCTGAGTAGAGGCTGTGTAGCGGCATGTTGCGCAAGTGGGTCACGATATTTACGTTCTGGTGTTGACTACAGTATTGCTCAACTCTGGCACTTAAGCAACAATGATTTATTATGACAAAGCAGGAGAGGCAGTGGAGTAATTCATTGTTGTGCCAGGTAGCGATAGAACGCAAAAAAATGTTGGGAAGGGTCGTAATATTTGTCGATGCTTACAGTGGTTGAAAGAGGTGAAAGAGGGAGAGAACGTCACCTCTACCCTAGAAGTTGGCAATGACAAATACAAGGTCCTTCCAGCTGGAGAAATTCGGCAACTGGAGGAAGACGGACCATACCTCAACAAACTGGTAAGTGTGCCTGCACTGTGCTCACACGTTCGTAAGATGTGACTGCCTGCATATTGAAGTTTGTGTCTAACAAGATTACCACGTTGCAAATTTCGCTGGCCAGCTTTAATTTTCTTAATGTTATAAACGGATGTGTATAGCTAGCTGTTCAACATGTATGTGAACGAAACAGGGAAAGCAGAAATAATGAATAGTGCTGAATGTCAGTAAGATACCGAACGTTGGTCATGAATTTAAATTTGCTTACATTGGCTCAATCATCTACGTTGCTATCTAATCGCGTGCCTAAGAGCTAGTTTTCTTCGTTTGCAGGTGATAAGTGGTGTCACTGAAAAGGACTCGGGGATGTACATCTGCCTGGGAGCAAACGAGAATGGTTATAGCTTCAAAAGTGCATTCCTAACAGTGCTAAGTAAGTGAAAATGGTGTAGTTATGATGCCAAGAAAGCAGGCATATACGTGAGCGTGTCTGAGTGTGTACTTGTGGACATGGATGTGTGCGCTGTGTTTGCTTGCATGTGCTTGTCAGGCGTGGAGGATTGGGACAGTGGTTTAGTGGATAGCACACTTGACTTAGGCCTGAAAAGTCTGAAGTTTAAGTACCACCGTGGCCGATGCTGTTGTTCCCTTAGGCAAGGTATTTTATACCAATTTGCTTTAGCCAACACCTGCTGTAGAAATGGGTTTATCTCTCCGGCATGGGTCTAACACCTTCACCAACACAACACTCAACAGTGTGTAACTTTGTCAGGCAAAGCTTATTCCGGACACCAAAGCAACACAGTTGCGAAGGCCCTATGCTCCTCTGAGTAGCAAAAGCGATTGTATGGTGTCAGATTGACATCAGGTTTGACGGTTTACAGACGAACCATGGAGTGACTTGATGGGTTGTGTGTGTGTGTATGTATGTGTGCGTGCGTGCGTGCCTGTGTGCGTGTGTGTGTTGTGCTGTGTGTATGTTGTGTGTATGTGTGTGTGTGTTTGTGTGTGCGTGCGTGCGTGCGTATATGTTGTGTGTGTGTGTGTGCGTGCGTGCGTGCGTGCGTGCGTGCGTGCGTGTGTGCGTGCGTGCATGCATGTGTGTGAGTGTTGCGTGCGTGCGTGCGTGCGTGCGTGCATGCATGCGTTCATGCATGCGTGTGTGCGTATATGTTGTGTGTGTGTGTGTAACACTCTGTGCTGTGTCGTTGCAGGCCCGACGCTCTACGAGGAGGGTATACCACTCGCGCTCATCATCGTCATTCCCGTCGTGCTCGTGCTGCTGTTCGCTGCCGGTCTGCTGGTGTGCCGCTACCGCTGCACCGCAGCACCACCTAGCAGTGCTAATGTCGCCACGCGGCCGCGCACCCAGCTGCAGCCCCCGAGCAAGACCGTGGCGGGTGAGTAGCACCTAATGTCATTTCGAGCTATGTAAAGGCCCCTGCACACAGTGCGCATTCGGGGCACACCTACGACGCTGAGCTAAACGTGCGCGCGCCATTTGCGCATGTAAGCCAGCTCGCACACGGTGTGCATTCGGCGCTGAGCCAGAAAAATCAAACACAATAGATATTTTGCACGTGCATTCGGCGCACGCCAGCCCGCACCGTGTGTGGGGGCCTTAAGTGACAGAATACAATTAGGATGATTAGTTGACACTGGTTTTTATTGCAGTGCTCGTTGTTCTATAATGTGGAGGGTATGGAAACAAATTACGCGTGGTGCGGCGTTTTTGTCTGTATTTGAAGTTTCCTTTGAGCGTAATCAGATTTGTTTGATGTTAGTTCTCATTCTACATTTGAGGTAAATACAGGTCTGTATGCTCTATGTGTACTCACATTCCTCTCCAAATGTTCTCAGGGTTTCATATAGGCCAAATTTTGGTACGCCTACTAGACCCATTCACTTTCACAACTAGACTGTATATTTTTCACAGTAACTGTCATTTTTTAATATCAAAACTATCTTATTCGGTTATTTTACCAAAAACTGCAGCGTCCACAATTCACAAATGGGCTCTTTTTTCACAAAATTAAAATACTAGGCACACTTACTAAAACTAAAACTAATACTAAAACATCCTAATTAAAATTAAAATTACTCTTACCTAACCCTAATTATAATAACGCCACTGCTGTCGTCTGCAGGTGCTGAGCGAACATACTACAGTGAAGTACCGCAGGTTGTCGTGGCGACGCAGCCGAAGGTGCATCGAAGCCTGCATCCGCACAAGCAGCAGCAGCACCACTACTACCCGCGCACGTCGCCGCACCCTTACTACAGCGATCAGATGTCGCCGCACCCGTACGACATGCAGTCTCAGCAGTCGCGGCAGATCTACACCGACTTCTCCACCTAGCAAGCCGACCCGCTGCCGCGAGCGACTTCTGATACTGCTACGCCGTGCGAATACGCTGAGGGTTGGTTGATACGGGTGTTCCTGAGGCGACTGACTGTTAGCGTTTGGAAGGAGCTACGTATCAGTCAACCTGGCTAGGGTCGCAGGGTGTTGGAGCGACGCGCCACCCCACCGGCGACCTGGCCACCACGCGTCGTTGCTGGACTACTTACTTGCCTCACTTACTTAAATGCCTGCTCGATAGCGAGAGTCGTGGATGGCCAGGCGGGCGGAATAAGATTAGTAGTTGATTCTCAAGTAGCAATACCCAGGCATGTTTGTCATTGCGGGGCCGACCACACTGCAGTCTCTGCCGTCGTCGTTACCTGCTCGACTTGGTGCACTTCATAGTGTATTAGTTTTATCGCAGTTTACGACACGAAGGGTTCATCGACGCATCTTTTGTTGTTTTATGCAATATTACTTCTAAAGATTCGACTTTCTGCCATCCATCTCTCCCAACATACTATCGTGGCAGATGCAGGAGTCGTGGTTGGCAAGGAATTCGAAAGTCTTTGTTTCTGCATTCATCTGAAGGATTTTCTTGATGAGTAATTTGAATGTGGCTGTTCAGGGGAAGCATGTGAAGGACTGAGCAGGCAACCAGCTTGACCTCTTCCTAATGCAAACTGTGATTTCGTGATGCTTGGACGATGACTGAAAATGTTATTATGTGTTTGATCTGCAGACAGAAGAGCAGTCCCATAGACCAGGAAGTCCATGTTCGTCTCTTAAGTCACTGACAGCTCTAGATTATGGTTGCATTGAGAATGTGGGCATTGTTACATATCCTTAGTGTTTGCCGAAATGATCAGTTGTACTTGCCATGGCGATATGCAAGGGGCGACCTCTTGTGGAAAGGTTCTGGTCAAACCAGCCAACTGGTCTATGAGATTGAATTCGAACGAACTGATAATTTCTAATAATTGCAGTCTGTAGTTTTTTTTTTCATTTATAATACTGAAGCGCTCCTTTGTTGGCACGTGTTAGTGCATGGGGTAAAACTGTCCAGAAGCAGCAGTATAGATACAGAAGTCTTTGTACAGAGATTTTACTATAAGTATTATGTTCAGGATCGGTGTCAAATGGCTTTGGTCGTGAGGAGGTTTAAATGTTACTGTTAAGTTCGCAAGTATCCATCTGGAAAGAAAAGTGTCTTACATGTACCCTGCTGATACGAGTTATATGGCCTGGACCGGCTTTATGAAAATAACACACAAATACATTGATGTATGAAAACCTTTATTTGACAGCTTTGTCACAACAGTGTGCCTCGTGCGCATAGACGTGCGGCTCGTATCAACACGGACTATGGGAGATAGTTATTGGTTTTTTATGTATATTTTCTGTTAGTCGTAGGAGGAGGATTACTACAATGGCTACATATGGTATTACTGATGTACATGGATGTCTTTATTTTTGCGTTAAATTTCATTATGTTATGTCTTGTAGTAGTGCATGACACGTGTGTGGGGAAACCCCCGTAACAGTAGATTTGTGAAGCCATGTGACAGTGACTCTGAGCATATGCATCACTTTTTGTACAGGCCCTTTTCAAGGGACGGAGGGCATTAAATTAATGCCACCCCTTTTATATATTATATCAAAACTATGCATTTTGTACATATGGTTTTAGGCGGAGACATGTAATTTATTTCTGTGTTCCTTTCGTTGCTGTTGTTAATGTTGTTGTTCTTGTTGTTGCTGTAGTCGTTGCTGGTGTTTACGTTCATCGTTGGTGGCGTACGTGCATGCGTAATATTCACGCGTTCACGCGTGTGTCGCGTCACCCCTCGTTGTCTTTTCTAACGTAGCAGCAGCGACCGCGTATCATGCAATCAGGCGCGAGGCCGCGTCGGTCGTGCGTGGGCTGGTGATTGTCGCGAGATCGTGTCCCTGCGACAGTTGCCACGCGTGTGGAAGCAACTGAAGCTGGCGCGCATATACTCGGTTTTGCGAGCAAACGTGGTTCTTTTAGAAACGGTACGAACACAGGTGAAGCAAGTCGCACTCGCTTCTCTTCTCGGTAAAAGTTCCGATCCACAAAATGGTCGGATTTTCCCGATACGAGATCAACCCGTTATCCAATGTTCGCCAAAGTATGCGTGACCAGCGTCGTTGCTTGTAGAACGCTGTATTGTTGTTTTATTACAATCCTGCGCAGTTTTTAATAGGACTAGAATTGTATACGAATTCAATCAACAGACCCATAACAGAATTCGATTTATAGCCCCTTGGCATCCTTATAATATATAATGGGGAGATCGAATGTAACAGGCATACGACAATTTCACATATTATACACGTAACGGAGCGATAACAATCGGAGATTGTTCTACATGAATAAAGAGAATCAGGTTTTGACGGAATCCACACACAACTGTTGAGAAACAAGTAGAACGCGTTCCTTCACTATTACCTCACATCATCCACTGCAGTACGCATGTTGCCAGCATGCAGAATCTTGCCTCTCAATATTTGGATGTACAGCACACGCTAACTACCCGAATGGTAGCAGAACGACGTCGCCGCGTGTTATATAGTGTCGGCGCCGTCGTTGGTCTGTCGACTACATGTCAGTGTGCATGCAGGTGTGCGTGATGTGCTTTGGTCCCTTCATCTTTGTCCGGGGGCGTCGTCGATGCATCTGCCGTAATCGCTCTTCTATTGCGTTCGTTGCCTGATGCCAAGGTGCCTTTATTGCGTAGCTTGTATGTAGTCATTGCCTAGGTGCGCTGACTTCTTCAGACGAAGATGGGCCCTAATAAGGATTAGCTTCCTAAAACTATCGTCTTGTGAATGCGCGCAAAAAAGGGTTATGGTGACGCCTTCTAACGGTGTGCTGCATGACATTGCTATTCTACATCGCATCGTAGAGTGGTGTACATCGGGTGCCGTCGTTTCTCTGTGTAGATCGCTTGGGAAGCATGTGTGTGTCCTTACAAAAACGACGTTAGAAAATCGCATTGGAGGTGGGATTATGGCATAAACATTATTTAGCCATGCGAGAGGACGCGTAGACGTCAATGAGTTGCCAGTAGTGTGACATTGACTGTCGACTGTTCCCCTGTACACGTGAAACCAAGCGCCGGGTTGGCAATACACCGGGTTTTTGCATCCGACCTCATCCCTCTAGTCCCTTGCGGAAGGAAGGATACTAACACTTTAGGCGTCTCGTATTACTCTGTTTGCTGATATGCGACTTCTGTTCGCAGCCAAGGTAGTAGCCAAGCGATTTATTGCATTCGAACACATGGCCACACGCTAATGCGTGTTATGGAAATACACGTTATGGTCGTCAATGTTTAAAATCGCCGAGAATTGTACACGCTGTATAAGTAAGGCCTAGTGTGTACGATAATGTGTTGAAACGCTAAAGTGATGGTATCCTATCGATATGCATTGCCACGTGCGTGTCTTTACTCCTCCGCATTCGCTCTTGCATATCCGAAGGGCGTTGACAGATTGCCAATAGACTGCTGGTTAGAACTCATCCGTTTACTTTTAATTCTATTGAAAAGAATGAAAATGGTTTATATCAATACGAGCTTTTGTGCCTTTACTAATCATATTTCATCTATTAGACGTTCTTTTGTTCAAGAAATCAGAGTGCAAAATCGTTAATTGAACAATATTTTAAATTTACGAGTTCTGGTCGTGAGTGTAAATCATGTTGCTTTCATTTGTTTCATGTGTTGTAATCATATGTACGAACGAAAGAAGTGATCAATCATTTTTGCATGAATACAGGGACTATTTGTATTACTAAGGATGTATACAGAAATTGCTGCTGTATATGGTATGTGTAAAGAAAGATGTAGTATTTAAAGCTACTTGCCCATCTAACAGACCGTATGCAATACTGAGTTGGCCGGGTTAATATCATTTATCATTAATGTGTTTTGTTCACTAAGCGTAATGAAATCGTTTATTCTCGCCCAGACGTGTATTTTTTGGAGCCCGACCGGTACCGAACCTGCCATCATGGGCATAGAGGTGTAGGATAGTAGGAATATCCTAGTGTTAAGTTTTGTTGTTTAACGTGTATTACAGGGAACCGCCCGCTAGAAAACGTGTTGAGTAATCGTTCGGTCTGCTCGGTGGGCAAGTCTGTTTAGTTTTGTGCTGACCATCAGCATACTGTATAATTATGTGAAAATTTGTATTATAACATTTGTCAAAATAAACGACATAACTATAGTTATTCGACTATTGGTTCATTAATTTATCTTGTACTCATTGAACGAGGTGCGGCGGATAAAAGTGGAAGGTAAAGATGAGGTTGGTACGTTTTGATACGTGTGTTTACTATTGCCCTAATTTGTTACTGAGTTTGTACTAATGCATGGCAGGCGCATCATTATGTTGCGGGCCCATTCCTGTCCATTTTGAGCGCATAAGATTAAGATCGGCCAAAGAAAATTATCTTGGCTGTAAACGGCGGTCAGCGAAGCGAGCGCCATTCCTATGTACATTAGCATTGGTGGAGATTTGTTGCGTGATGCAGCGTCAAAGTCAACTTTTTACTTCGACGTTTATACAAATAGGATAATATTAACAAAATGTGAATGAAAAAAAATAAGCATAACATGTTGAACAGTCTGAAACCGCATAACAGTCTGAAATTACTGTCTGCTACGGTTAGGATAGGTTGATAAGGTTTGATGATATTGATAGAACGCGAATGCAGAAATAATTCGCATACTAAATTATATATAATCAGGAGCTAATAATAGGCACAATTAGGATGAAATCCACCGAATATGACAACAGAAATGGTGCAGCATGATATTAATAATGCATAACAATAACAGGTAAAATAAGAATGCGGATATCATAAACATGCTAAAATAGTTACAATGACGTTCCTGGTTAATATTATACAGTTAGGATAATACGTATTAACGAATTTAAATAAAGAAATAAGCATAGCATGCCAAAAGGAGTAAAATTAGAGTAGTCGGTCTCAGGGGAGATGTAGTGATCCGCTAGAGGCGTCACCATCCAATGACATTAGAAAATCAAGGAGGGACCAATGTATAGCTCATTGTAGGAAATCTCTTTGGTGCCATCTAGTGTAAAAAAAATTATTATAACGTGCGCATATATGGAATAACCCTGATGGATATACCGTTGACCTGATTAACATCAGGGTTCATCACTATGTGACAGGCTTCTCTTTCGCGAGATCTCTTGCGTTCAGTAGACACGTGAACTGAATCATCCCACCATCTCCTACCACGACAAACGAATTTAAGGCCAGAATCGACCGATTCAAGAAATCGCCAGATACACATTTCCACTTTGCACAATATCTTGCTCAAATCACAAAAATGATGCAGACTAATTATTCATAACAATAACAGCTAAGATAAGAATGCGGATATCATAAACATTGCATGCTAAATTAATTACGGATTTAAATATTGGTACAAACGGGATTGTATTAACAACTATAATGCAGGCACACGCACACGCTCACGCACACGCACGCACGCACGCACGCACGCACGCGCGCACACACACGCAGTCCAAACACACACACACACACACACACACACACACACACACACACACTACGTACCAACACACACACACACACACACACACACACACACAC